CGCTTCAATAGGCATAAATTGACAGCTTCTCGACGGAATAGGCTGCATCGCCTTGAAGTGACCACGCCCATATCTTGAATTCCTTTTTCTCCTATGGAGAACGTGCTACTTTCCCTCCGGCCTCATCCAGTCTACCGGATACTGCTGTGAACTCCTGCACAACAAACTTCTCAAGGACGTTCAGGGAAAATACAAAACAGCTATACAGCTGGTTACAGACGAAAATCCCGCTCAAAACGGAGAACCGAGGAGCTCAGGCCATCAATTTGTCGTAAAACCTTCAAGACTTAATGGAAAAGGGTGACAAAGAGAAGACGCATCACTTTGTGGCTTACGATAGGAGAAGACTGCCTACAGACACGCGAAATCCTACTAAGGAACATGGAAAACTCTAGAATTGAGATGGTGTCTGAATCCTCCACTAAGCGGATCACTGATTTGTGGAGTACAGGTCGGTTGTTAGCAACCGTACGCACTTTTTATGTCAAACCTTACCAGAAACCGACAGTATTGCACTTTTCCAAAAGATTCAGAATTCCTCTGAATCACACTCGTGGTCCAGCACCATTTCGGAAGGTACTATGATCGCCCAGTTAGGAAACGCTGAAGCCAGAAACCTTCGGCAGCTGAACAAGGGATGTGTGTGGTCCAAAGACTAGAAGGAAGCCTTCGGATTGTGCTACGTGCATGATCTGAGATTAAAATCTTGCTCAAGTCAACCAAGGATTTCAGCACTCCGAGGTTGATTAATGGAGTCCGAGTTGCCCGGAAATTGTAAACCCTGAACAGCACATCGAATAGCTCATAATTCAAGGTCAAGTATGCACTCGAGTGCAATTTCAGTTCAGAATAAAATGATACACTGGGCGATCGCCCCACCAAAAACCAGTCAATCAATGCCGTGCACCCTATAAACTGCATACCACAGCACCTGAACATATCAAACTTATCATTAGGAAATTATTCCTGAACCGAGAACCTGCTCGAATTACCAAGTTCCTGATTTTCAATGAAGAAAGCTAAACTATAACAGGCTGCGTATTGATCACAAGTTTCAGAGGCATCCCAACCACATCAGCCGGTCTTGGGCAACACTTTGATTAGTTCAAAAGTAGAATTCGAAATCTCAAGGTTAAAATCACAGTTGAAGTGCTTTCAATCAAAACCTTTGTATTCGTTTCTGACGAAAAATTACGATTTCCGATCCAGACTTGGTTTTCAGGTTGCCAGTTGCTATGCTCTCATTCACTAGGAAGACACATGAGGGCAGTATGAAAGTGGATTAATCAACTCTAAAAAGGGAATGATTGTCATTCCAGTGGCTCGAAGGGCATTTCGTACTCTGAACTTTAGTCGAATAGCACAATAACTTACGCACTCCGATGCAATTTCAATTCAGAATGAAATGAGCAAGTGGACGATCGCCATGCCAGTAAACCGTTCAATCATTTTATCATCTTTTTCAAAGTTTATTTTTGACTGAAAAGAAATTTCAGTCAAAATAGTGGTCGGCATTCGTCATATTTGTCGTCATTTTCGTGTCGTTTTTTGCTCGCCACTTCAGGAACAAGGCTCATCAAACCCTAATCAGCCGTCCAAATTCCATGGGCGCTTGGTGGAAAACTCCAAGGAGAAGAAGAACGTTGATGCAATTATGACATCATCATCTTCCAGCCTTCCATACAACAATTCTTTTTACTTCTTTATTAGGCAGTAAACTTGCCGGAGCATTCTATTCTGATGAGTCACATATGTGATCCTGCCCTTAGATCGACGTCCTTCTCTGTCATTACCTTTTCGCTTTCCTTCTGCAGTTCTCAACCCTCCTTGCAAGAAAATTCATCTTCTTCCACTCCAGCCACTCCTTCATGCGGTTGTATCACCTATACAGAGACCTCCAATCTGAAGGCAAAAAGGTCCTTCGAATAAGAATACAATCTCCTCAAGGTATACGGCGAAAAAGCATTGAGGAGACAGATTTTCTACAAAAAATTCGAGTCTGTCCCGGTATGTCGGTTCAGCAATCGTATGGTCACTCAGAAAGGACGTGACCGGATTTGTAAAGGGCGTGATTTCCTATTGTTTTGGACGGAGCGTACGTGGACCGTGGAAAACACCTAGACAAAGTGGGAAAGGACGAAAAGGAACATCCTCATCTTGCAAATTCGAAAAAAAANAAAAAAAAGGTCGACGACGAAGTTGCAAACTGCCAATCAATTCCGTTTCGGTGGAAATTCGAACATTTTTCGTTCTCTCCGAATTATTTGTTGAAACGAACGCAACCGTCTCCGTTTTTTGGGGAATATGGCATCAAATTACAGACAAATTTCCATCCAAAGAACCGAACCAACGAGCAGTTCCATTATGGAATTTCCTTTTTCCTAAACATTCTTACCATCCAGTTTGTTGTAGGTAATAAAACTCGGCACACGTACAGTGCTGAAGGGGTCACACTTCTGATACCGGAACGGTAGTCAAAACGGTTTCTGATTGTTTAACTTTCTCTCAGTTGAAACTCAGCTTTAAATTAGCCATTGGAATCATGAACGAACGTCGTCCTTGGTCACCGACAAAGAAAAATCTCCTGCAGACCGCCACGAATTAATCAAAGTGCGTTTTTCATCACTGAACTTCTCGGCGCACTAAATTATATCTCGCCAACATTTGTCTTATGGAGAACTGCTGGGAACAATCCTGCTTGCTTGCTTTCACGTCTGTCTGGTCTTCAGCGAAATCGAATATTGACCGTAGGACGAGTTTAACGAGATATGTGGAGAAAGGAGGTAGGACATGAGGCCTCCCGACAGCAACCAAAGAAGACCCACACGGGCAGATGTCATTTGCGCGAGTCTGCGCATCTATTCGAAGAAAAACGCCGATTCCTGCGCAATTCCTATTTAAGCTAATTCCACTCACTTTTTTCCCATCCCACACCCATATCCCAAGTTCGAGAGGAGGTAGAGTAGCGCCAAGTGCCACACGACCCTATGCTCCGGCAAAGAAGTCCAACATCGACAGCCGCAAGGGTCAACGAAGAATTCCACCTTTTCACAGTCAGGGTGAGATTGATTAAAGCCAAAGGGCATCATTTTTCATTTCAGAATTTCTCTACAACAGATTATTCTATCGATTTTCTGCCAATCAATAACCTCCCATACCTCGAGGCTTTATTAATTCCGAAATTGCCCTTTATATTGATCTCATAACAACAAAAACAGGTTGGCTTTAAATGAATAGCTCAGGTATGACGTCACATGATGTATTTCATTTTATGTGGTGGCCTTGACGGATTGCCTGAAGAACCTTGTCATGGCCAGAAAAGATGGAACGAGCCATTCCGTTCCTTTCTTAGGTGATGAATCCATTTATGGGAAACGATTGTTTTTCGGCCAAATGGTATTCCATCGAGCAAGAAATTAGAAAACCGCATTCCTCATAGTTAAGATTGGCAATGGCGTCATCAACTTCAAGACTTACCGTAACCCTATGCCACTAAACACAAACTACCTACTATATATGTAAATTTTCACCCATTTCACATTTCATTCGAACATCTTTTTGAATAGAAAAAAACAAAAATCATAAATTTCACCATAATCAATACATATATTTTGTACATTAGAATATCTGGCAATTTTTGCCAAATTGTCCACTGGGCTAAAGAACGACTTATTTTTCTGAAGCCATTGAATTTGGTTTTATTTGCTATGGAGTTAAGCACCGGCCCTTGGAACACAGCCCTTTCGCCCCATAGTCTTACTAATTCTATAATTTTACCATGAAGGCCAACAAGAGGGGAACTTACACCCTCCAACATCAATTCACTTTATTCACATACATTTCGAACAATATAATAAATGGATGATTATAAAAAAATATAAAAAATTTGATCAAATACTTCAAATACACAATCCTTGAAAAGCTTGAAAAACAATGTTTGGAATTTTTTGAAGGAAAAATTTTCGAAAGACTATGAGCAGGGCTTGGGTTTTTGACTATTTTATGTCTCTGATCAACAGGGTTTCGAAAAAGAAAAAAGATTCCTCCTGGTTTAAAAGTATTTTTTTTNTTTTTTTTATGAATTTAAGATCCGATTCTTCGAGATGACCGATCCCAATCTTTGCCGCGACTTTGCTCCCAATCTCCCAAGGGGATCGTGTGAAATCGCCCCAAATCTATCGAAGAGAAGACTCAAAAATCGCAAGGAAAAATCAATAATTACAAAAACCAAAAATACAAATACAGTGCCGGAATGATTGCGCAATCGCGATTAGTTCAATCGGCAAAATTCGGCACCATGCAGCGCCAAGAGCTCATTGATCGGGATAGCACTACCATATTTATCCAGAAAATATTAATAAAATCATAAATTTCAAAAAAATCTCTGAACTCCAACAACTCACCGTAATGTGCTTGGATGGACTTTGTGGTGAGGCACCTCGTTGAACGGTGGCCATTCGACGATGATAATCACAATATGGCTTTTGACAGCCTTCTGCAACATAGACTTCATAGTTGGTTACCAGAGGTAAAGACATCATTATAGTCGTCGATGTGTTGTTGTTGATCAATCAGTAGTCAATGAATATTCCAATCAATCAATATCAGTCAATAAATTCAGTAGTAGAATTTTCACCGATGGATTACAATTAGGCGGCAGAACACTCCGGGGATGAGGCGACAGATTGGTAGGCACAACTGGGAGGACAGAGTGAGTCAGCCTTGGGGGCGGGGAGGAAAGGTGTGATGCAGACAGTTACGAATTACAGTACTCTTCCGTTTGAGAATGGAAACAGCTAAAAGGATTTCAACCAGTAAGTGCTAGAGTCAGACAGACCGGTTTCACAGGGCGTAATGCAATCTATTCTTGTATCGATCAGTGTAAAAAGTCGTCGGGAACAATGCCTCGATGTGCTGCTCCCTTTCTGCGTGGGTATGGCCAGAAAATGGCGAGCGCCGGTCGGTCGACTGACTAACTGGTGAGGGGCGGTGCCGCCGATCTCACTCCCAAATAGGTGGGCTCATTCTGACTCAGTTACCAGGCGTTCGGCATTTGTTGTAGTCATCAATTTCAGACGCTGCCTACTGGAAGACGCTTACGGGAAAACTACGTCAATCAATCGGGAACGTTCTACGGTACGACGACCGGTTCTGGTTCTGCTGCGCGTGGCGCCGTCTCAAATTGCGGTCGACACTTATCGGCAAAGCGATTCTAACGAAGGGAACGGAAGACGTCTAACGCTTTTCGATTAGCATCTAAGCCATCCTCATCGTTCAAAGCCCATCGACATCAAAAGTCAGCTGGTCAGGAGAGGAAGTTCAAAAAGAGAGTGCAAGGGAGGCTTTTAGTTCTTTTTCGGAAGCATGTGCTGTGAAGTTGAAGATGGTCGGGCTGAGAAAATCGGCCTATAAGCTAACCATATGGGGATGCAAGCGCTTGAAAGGAAAAAAGAGTGGGAAATTTTTCTATCGCTGTGAGAATGAACAATTCCTAAAATAATCCGATGGAAGACTATCATAGAGATCAAACGTCAGGAAAATATCGAAGAGAGGAGAATTCATATAATCACACTATAAAAATAGCCTTTTTAGAAACAACGATATGACCCAAACTCCAGACCCCAGGCGATTATTCAAGAACATAAAAAAAAGAAGAAAAAAGATGCAGAAAGGCATCACAAAGTGTATCGTCTGCAATTTGCAGAGAACACATGAAAAATGACGCCAAATACAAGATTACTGTAACGACTATAGATGGGATTCTAGACTTAAGCATCAATCAGTTCACCATTTTCCCTTAAGGTGATAGGAATGCTTAAAATCTCAGAGTACCCAAAATTATGAAGTAGTATTACACATGCAAACTCCGAGGTAAGGCTGCCAAATGGGAAGGGAAGAGTACAATCGTACTAATCTATATACTATACTATAAATTCGACAGTGTTAAATCAGTAGCCTACTGTACCGTTACAAATGTCCTTTTGAGGGATGTCTGACTCATAGCCCAGCTCCGGTGTAAGTAACAATTATATACGCCCACACGGGCGAATTGCGGTAAGGGCGTTACCTGGCCGCCTACCCTGTCAGCGATGAATTTCACCGCAATGATTGATGAGCGTTTTCGCCAATTTCTATCCGAAACAAATCAATTTTCGCTCATAGATAGGTTGATGAAGTCAATTAATCAGCCTTCAGGATATTGACCTGTGGACTGCTGGGTATCCTACATTTCTCATCTGGCTCAATGGAAGGCCCGAGAACTTCACCTCCTAATTCCCGACCTGTTGCAGAATCAGGAGAGGGATGTCACTTATGAAGATTAGTCGGCGAATCAAAGAACTAAGCAGTTGTTTGGACAACACTTATTTTGATGCTTATTGACTAGCTCTCAAAATTCCTGGCCAAATGGCAGCATTCAGAATTCACTAAATAGACCCTAGTTACAGAAAAATTGTTCGAAGGGTGGAGCAATATCGTTCAATATTCTGTTGGGTGCGTTTAGAGTCGGCGCTCAAGGCATTAGGATATAATAGTAAAGATACTTATTGAACAACCCGCAAACGTTGTAAATGAGAAAATGAACTCAGTCAACTGGAGTTTGAATTCAGTATTCGTGAATGTGTGGCTCAATGTTGTAAAGGCCAATTCGGAGCTAATCTCTTTCTTCTCAGATAAATTTTCAACAATAAAATCAAAAAAGACAGACATCGATGAAATTCAATGGGGAACTAATAAGTAGAACGAAACCCGCAATAATAAAAAACCTTAAGTCAAAATGATCAGTCAACCCGCAAGATTTTGTAACTATCACTTATCACCCCTTGGTCAGGCGATCAATAAATATTGGGACCATTGCAGACAAACCATTTAGGTCGCCAAATTTTGATCTCATGCAAAGTAAAATTTTAAGAAATTTGAAAGGATGTTAAGGTTTTCGTCTCCCAAATGAGACGTCCCTGCTCACTTCTGAACAAATAGAACATGAGGAATGTATGGTAATTATGACTGCAACCGAGATATTGGGAAGCAACAAGCAAGCGAAAGAGGGAGTGGCAATCCCACAAAGTCACAAAATAAGACATCTTCAATCCACTCTTGGCCCTGTTTCGAATCCAAGTAGGAAAAACACGGGGGAACCCGGCACTTCAATGGCAGGTGTTATTGGCGCGCCCTGTCGTACACTTCCAGTTACGACTGCACGTTCGCCGACGGTGCACTGGAATTACGTCGATTCATCGTTCCAGGACATCTTACCTTCCACTTACGAAGGAAGAAAAGTTCTGGAACCAAGAACCCACCGTTTGTAGACAGCCGGCGCTACAGCGATGATATGTTTCGAACGATACCCGCGCGCCTCATTCCGGTACAAAACCAAGGTCATAAAAACAGCTAAGTAAATAATAGGGAAAGAGGTTTACGAATAGGAATGGGGTCCAAGGAATCGGGAAGGAAGGCTGTCTGAACCCTCACAAAGCTGTGACATCAACGGCCATTAAGGATTCCAAACAATTCCTTATATCGTTCCGTGCCAGGAGCCCACTCCGAGGGGAAGCAGTCGTAAAAATTTGGGGGAGGAATTTCTTAGCTACCGTAAGATCGTGGTAGCCACCGACCTTAGTGTCTTCGTACACAGCTGAGGTCATGAATAGCGATTTCTCTGATTTCCCTCAAAATATCCCCCGAGTGGATCATATTTCAAAAAACAGCTATAGCTATCCACAGGCGACCGGCCAGCCAACGACAAACAAGCGTGTCGGGACGAAATTGAATTAGTCGAATGCAGTCCAACGAACCTTAGACGATGGCGACAAGACAAAACCGACGCTTTATGATTGACCGAAACTTTTCGTTCTGGAAATCAAGGGACTGGAGAGATTTCGTTGTGAGAAAGAAAGAGAAATGGCAGAGGCTGCGGTGAGACCCAAGAGCCGTCCGCGAAATTCTGAAAAAATGGAGTACGATTGGAGTAAACAGCTCCGAGGACGATTACGATAATCGAATCGGTTCAGTGCCATCAACGAATTGATTGCAACCACTTTATAGCAGACGATTAATGCCAATTTTGCGTTCGAAACGTCCTTGCTTGGTAGAAAATTCCAACACTTGGAACTCTTGGAACTACACGATTCCGCCCATCTATGGACCCGTAGACCGTAGATTGTACGTTTAAAACGTCCTTGGAGGGAAATTCCAACACTTAGACCTTCACTTCAGGCGGACTTCACGAACTCCGCCCATCCGTAGACCACGCCTACTTTTGAGGTGACCTAAACAATGAACTAGCATTGATCATACAGTAATGCAAAAAAGCAAGTTAGAATCTGGTTTCCAAAGCTACTAAGAAGTTAAAGAACCAGTTCCACCATGTTCAGTCCATTAAGTAGACCTGAGCTTTTACCGAAAAGCTGCTTACACATTAACCAGCCTTTGGCAAGTTGTACAGAAGAAGTCTTGAGCCCAAATCATACGGATGGGGGAGAAGAAATGTTGAAAGTGGAAGAGAAGTTTAATGGAAACGAAGTAGAAAAGATCAGTTGAAACCACCCCAGTGCTGATGTCTAGTTTACATCATTAAAAACCTAATGTAATCAACACCAATCCACTCGTAATCTCAAGTGGACGGCTCTTCATGCAACCGTTTACTTGTTTCTAGCTCCCTCTTTTTACATCCCTGCACTCATATCTCAATGCTCTTACTTCCACCTACCATCACCCTATCCCTAGAGCTCTTAACAGCCAGCCTTTCATCATCGGTTTTCTTCAACACCCCTTTGTGATTCTTCCTAAACTTACAGGACCCACCCCCACTCCTGCGATAAGGCGTTCGTTTATATGGTAAGATACTCAAGAGACACTCAACGAGACCCTTGCCCACCTTGCCTGGAGAGGGTCAAACTTTTTTTTTCTTCGATATCAACCCTAAACGGCAGTTTTGGCTTCCTAAAATCAGATGAAATCACCACAGGGTGACTCGTGGGAAAAGTAAGGAAAGAGAACAGAAGTAAGATACTGAGTGACCAAAAAAGTTAGGGCAGCAGCAGAGCAAGTGCGCTTCGAAACTGGCAATCTAATTTAATTAGACTTCGTATAAAATAGCGGCAGAGATGTCGTGGAGATATTGTGGTCGGGTAACGGAGATGGAATATGATACTCCATGGAGCTGTCTGGCAAGCATGGGCGGTACACATAGAGTTGTGCTCTGCTCTAGTGGCGCAGCTGGATTTGTTTGAGGAGATGAGCCGAACGGACGTACGAAGGGCATTAGGCCAAGGATTAGCATTCCCCCAATTGCTGGTAAGGGCCACTGACTTCTAACTCTATGAGAACACAAATAAGCTAGTTTGTCTTTGCTAAATATCCTTTCAATCAGTCCCATTAGCCTGGGTAGGGGTCCCATGCATGGCGTGTACAAGGCAACGCTGGTCGTGTCATAACAAGTAAAAACTTGTCTGGCAATGTTTCTACAAGAAAAAGAAATCTGCAGAATAATCGATAAAAGAGGGAAACCACAAAAACAGGGGACGTGACGAAGACATCAGAGAAAAAGAAAAAAGCGGTTTGACATGTCTGACACGACGGTGACATGTATTGACAAGACAGCGTTGCACTTTCGAAGAAGGAGGGAGTGTCAAATATGCAACAGCCGCACGGTTTTTTTTTTCTGGGTAAACATTAGGGACCCTCATATCAACAAAAGCTTATCATATTACATTTTCAATGGATTCGTACATATCAATTGCTCACAACCCTTTCGTGAGCTTGAAGGTACGTTTTGGAACTCCTCGGCCGGGATTTACAAACGCTGTATGTCACGGCCATGTTTTTGCGGCGAGGACATTGGGCCGTATGTCACGGCGATGTATTCGACGCGCATCTCATTAAATGAATCGCAACAAATGCCAATACTGCATTACTCCAGAAGTTCTATTGAAGCAAAAGGATAAATGAAATTTTTTATAGATAATAAACAGGTAGTGAACCCAGCTCCTCAGTCCAAACCTCACAAACTGCTGACTTAATGTCTATACGGTTTAGCCAAGCTGTGGGTGCTAATAAATTATTGAAAGTATGTATACCATAGAGAAGATGAACGAAAGAAGAGAGCGTGTGGGATCTGGAACTACAACAGGAACCAAGATGCCCCAAAGGTTCAAGTACGGGGTTCTGCCCAAATCCGGATCTTTCAAAACGACATACTATCAAGTATAATCATAAAATCGTGGTGTGAAAAATGACGCCATATCTATCCGAAT